GTCATAGAAAAAAGCAAAAAGCAAAAAGCCAAATAGGAATAAATTAGCCATGTGATTTACATTTGCGTATTTTAATTATTTAACAATTATTTAAGAATTCATTCACAATAACAAGAGATAATTCTGTAATTCCGCGCTGTATGATAGACAGGCGCCATAGTCATTTTAATTCAGAGCCAACATTCTCCATCAACAGAAGTCGCACAAAAAGAAAAAGGTAAATTGACGCGAGCAATGTCATGTCTCAGTTGTCACACTTTCAGTCGTCAATCTATTATGTCCTGACAAACGAAGCTTGGTTTGTGGCTCAGGTGAGGAACTGGCGGAGGACCGCCTTACCCTCTCCGCGATGAGAAGTCCTGCCTATGCTCCTGATTTGTGGCTTGAAAATTGTGATCAGATGGTGTTGTGCACTGCAAACCATACGCAGACTGGCTTTTCTATTTAGCACTAATCTAAAACACGCGTCGCGTTCCTGGAATTTACCCCAGGCTATATTTGTCAAAAAAATGGAGCTATTATTTCTTTAGTAGCTATCCGATTTACCTTTGTAATTCGAGCACGTTTGAAATTCGCCGGAAGAATCAGCCTCGAATTGCATTAGAATGACACCGAGAAACAGACGCAAATGATTTCTCTCATATTACGTGATTCAGCTATAAGCGTTTGTGTTGTGAATGTTGCAAGCTATGATAATTAGATGCTAATTCATTCCTATTTAACTTTTTGCTTTTTGCTTTTTGCTTTTTCCTATGACAACCTTATTGCAATTAGGTGTAACTTGCCTTTGTAGCGAAAATACTCGCGCGACTAGAATTATTTTATGTGGGCACCTCGGTTTCCTTTGCCGAGACCTTAAAGAACTTGCGTTCTTTCAGTCATTGTCGCTAATATTCGTACCCACTTACATTGTCAAAATTAATGTAGGCGAACCCTCCTGAAGTTGAATTCCAAGGGACCATATCCGCGTTCAGAAAGAGAAATAAAATTTCATCGGTACTTGTTTATGTTCTCCAGAAAACGCGAATTAGGCATTTTCACGTTGTAGTCGTGCAAAAGCGGCAAAGAAATGTACAAAAAAAAGAATGATGCACGTCCAAACGTTTTGTTGTTTCGCTCATTAAAATTTTTTTTTTTGACGTTGCGTTGTTGGCTGAAAACTCGTTACATAGCCTGCGTTCTGGTTCATCGGTTAGTAAAGTACGAGAAAGCTGCAGTTTTTTGGTGTGTCTTTTTTCTTTTGTGGTTCTAAAAGTAAGATGAGTTACAGCTGCGCGAAAGCTAAACCGAGGTCGAACACGCCACTCGCACATTTCCCATAATGCACCTTTTTGCCCCCCAAAATTTTGCGTAAGCATTGTTTTCAATTTCCTTTGAAACGGCTGCAATACCCAGGAGGAATGATATATAGAGCGTCTGCGATCTGGTGCAAAATATCGTGTTTGAATCCCTCAGAGTCGCAAAAACATATGTCTGCGTTTTTGATTGGCTAGTCGACTAGGATGTAATTTTGGCGCAGCATTGACAGGCACTCCATAGCCACGAAAGAGAAAACTCTTTGATGATATCACTTTTAAATACCCGATCTTTACTAATCTCAATACAATAGATAAAACATTGTTTCTTCTCAATAATGTAGACCCATTCATTTGTAAATTTCGACGCTGATTTAATTCTGCGATTCCGCTTTTGTTGCCATAAATAGCACGGCAAAAGGACTCCAACTGCGTGAGGAGATCCTGTGATGTACACCAGTCTTTAGGCCGTTCACAGTCCCCTATTTTTTGGAAGATCGTCATATTAATAGTCTCCTTCGCAGCCGTTATTAGGGACGTCACGCAACGCTCCTCCCCAATAACGACCCTAATTACGGCTGCGAAGGAGACTACATGATTGAGCGATTTGGCGGCTTGGGCGGCCATCTTGCCGTTTCCTAATATATGAACCGAGGGGGCGGCCCCCAAAGCAGATTTGACACTCACGATCATCCAAGATGGCCACTCGTAACGCAAAGTCTTCGATCTCGACGATCGTAAGGACAAATAGGGGACTGTGTATAGTGTAACCAGTCTTGCTAAAAGATTTACTGATACTAATTGTTAGGTTGGACGAGGCAGTTTGAAAGGTCTCAGATGCCAATTCCAGTGAAAGCATGCATTTCAGGTGGGGCCTTACACATGTCATAGCCAATGGGGCTGGCAACCTCAGGTGCATGTCGGTGTAACGTGCGTGAAATTGTAAAATTAAAGTATCAGTGAAACATTTGGTCCGTTAATCTTGTATAAAAAAGCAAGATAAACGGTCTTGGAGCATCTGGGACACCCGAAGAGCGATGATACCTTTGATTTAAGAGTAGGTTTGCCACGTTGCCAGCATGTAGAATTGACTATTCATGAGGATGTCCGCTTGTTCTTGGTTGTGACCGTTTTGTTTGTTCTTTTGCCTATTCTTGTCCTTCGTGAAATACCCTAGACTCGCTGTCTCTGCAAAATGAAGTCTTACCAAATTATATTTCAAAAAAGTAGAGGGGACGACACACGGCTTACTTCCTCTGCTCCTACTCCAACGACAATGGCGTGGCTGTGCCTCAGCGATCCGTTTTGAGCCGCGAATTCTAGATTTCGAGTTGTACTCACAATGATAAGTATCTTGTAACTAAAACTCGCCAAAACGTCTTTGAAATAGCTTTAGAGGAGAACACAGAGAACTGAAGACACAACAAAAAACACAAGGTGATATGTTTTTTGCTTGTTTCGTTGTTTTTATTATTATTACTGTTACTATTATTTTGTAATGATCGTTGAATGCAGGATGAAACAGATGCGAACATATAGCAGGGGAAGGGCACTAGTCCAGTCAAATTGTGGTTTAGCATCAAACTAATTGCAACAGAATGTTTTTCAATGCCATTTAATTGTTGGATGACTGTTTAACAACATACTAAAAATCCGCCAAAATCGGCTCAGTGAAACATGAGAAAAATTGGTCAATAAAGATTTCAACTTGCACCACAGGAAACCCAATTTCAGTAAGCTCACAAATTCAGACAAAACATCTGATAATTGTGTTTTTTTTCCTCATCAATTTTCGATGCAACATCGCTAATGTATTTTGGGTAGTTTTGTTTTAAAAACCGCGGACTTAATGTGGTTGAAACACCTGGGTCAGTGTTTCGTCTTGAAGGGCTTTACACAGGTTACCCAGCCACCCGTCTGTCTTCACATTCTGTTTTCCAAGTTTTAATTTTTTTCTATGACGGTATTAAAAAGGGAAATTATTAGTCAGTCTGTGTTAACATGGTTAAAAATATTAGCGTTTTTTTTTCTGCGCAATATCAGAAATGCAGTAAGTATTTTGGCAGTTTTACAGGCTGGTAATTTTTATATCCTGCTGCAGCATGGATTCAAATTTGTAGCTGACTGATGGTGAACAGTTTGACCTGATATTTCAATTTATTCACCTTCAGTCAGCTACTAAATTTGCATCCATGCTGCAAGATACGTGCGACCAAATGTGTGAAACGGACGGTAGCTTTGTATCAGTACAAACTGTTTAACCTATTTCCATTTTCTGTAATCGAGTTTTGTGAGGTAGTTATGTTCAAACCTTGGACACAATATGTGTGATCGAAGGGATTCTTTTTTTTTCTCGCGACATGCGCAATCTCCTTTAGGATTATGACTCCGTACTTTATAATGTGAGTGAATAAATATTCTGCTAAGGACTCCGTCTATTTGGTTTTTGCTACATCGTAAAGCTTTGCGCTTTTCATTACACTAGGCCGAATCTGTTGTAAGGGAAATCCAGAAAACCAAGCGCAGTATATTGTTCTTTTTTTATCTTCTTCTTGTAGCGAGTCTCAGATTTAGTTTAGTGTATCTGTGTGTTCAGTTTGTATTTTCTGCGGCAGCCCTTCATTTCTTGGTAAGAAGAATAAGTATATTAATCGCTCTGTGGTCTGAAGGCGTTTCTATTCCCTCCTTGCATTTCTTTTGAGAGAGCAACCCTGAACCTTGACCAGTTTTTGTTCGTCCATTGGCAAATGAAGACCTCTTTTAATAACGATCAGTGGGATCGTATACGTCTGAAAATAATTGCAGTGGTCATTAAAGGCGCGAAAGTACTGGAGATATGTACGACATTATTGCCTGACTTAGCTTCTGATGGCTCACCTCTTTTTGCGGAACCTATGTTTCTCTTCGGATGAGCGTTGTGTAACACTTCAACTTACTGCATGTTAGCCTTCTGACTGAGTTGGGTGAGTTATGCTCTGCGTGGGGAATTTCTATTACTCCATAGCCTCTTACAAGATATTTTTACATACGCATTGTTTTGGCTGCCCAGAGTTAATTGTTCCCTCAAAAAACAGCTTCCCTATTATGCTATTTCGTTTTCTTGAAACAAACGTTTGCTGGAACCAAAGTTCTTATGCGATGAATGTTCCGTTAACCTTTATAATTTTTTTCGCGAAGGTAACAACACTTTTCCTTAAATGAAAACATATTTCCCTCTTATCAAATTCATAGGCAGTGGAGCTTAACCTGCTCAAAAACTCTGCATTGTTGTGCATCGTAAAGAATTAGTGAACTATCCTCTTCTCCTCTCCAATTCACTTCTAACAAGAAGAAAAGACAAGCTTCAAAAAAAGTGAAACATATACTTGAGGATGTCGGTACGTTAACGAAAATTAATGTAAAGGTAACCGTAAAAGCCAAAGCATTATCTTGCTGAATTTTTGAAAACGCACAGAACGAAAAGTGCAGTCTTTTGACTGAGAAAAAGACCAAACGCCGAAAGCAAAATGAGCCCAAAAATCCTCCTAGCTAGAAAAGAACAAGGAAAGGGAAAGTAGAAAGAAGCGAGGAGAAGTAAAGAAAAGCAATGGCTGCACTCCTAGTTTTTATGTTGACTTCTTTGAAGATAGTTTTTGAAAGAAAAAAACTGTTTGACGGGAGAGCTCTATTTTGGCTGTAACGTTATTCAAAAATCCAGCTCTGATATATATTCTTCTTACCCTTACGCCTAACAGAAATCTGATTAAGAAAGGATTCATTTTAAAAGCAAATGATTAAGTAATTAACGGCTTTCATTTTTCAGATTTAAAGCTTCGCGACTAAATTCGCTGTAATTTACAGCCAACAGTTCACTCTATTACCCTGTAAGCTTTGTGTTATTTTGGGACAAGAGAGAATGATCATTCATTCTCTCTCGTTTGGGGCTCCATGAGTGGAGCATGGGCTTCCTGTGCAAACGCCAACCGTGTTTAATATTTATCCTTTTTGAAAAAAAGAAACACTTCGTTTTTATCACCGAAAACTAGGTAGCAGTTGTTTTTTCTTCTTTCACTTTTCCATAAAAGTAACAAACACATTTTGTACATTTTTTGTTTGAACTTATAATTTCAACTAACGTAGGTGCCCTTTTGTTAAAAGCTCTTAACGCTTAATTTTGACATGTTCCACCGAACGGATTTTGGCGGATTTTTAGTATGTTGCTAGATGGACCACCCTTACTTACATGGCGTTGAAAACAATTCTGTTGCAATTAGTTTGATGTTGAGCCTCAAAAATAATCTACTGAACTACATCACATTTTATCCCTTGAAACCCTGTACATTTTTGGGGGAGGGGGTCACTGAAAAGCGTTTTTATGGGGCCAGTCATAAATTATTCTTTTAAACTGAAAAATCCTCGTAGCCCCCCACCACCCCATAAATTATGAACGCTCCTGCTTTAGTTCCTAACACGATCAGTATGTCAATAAAACAAAAGTCAAAAGTTTAGAAAAAGTTAACGCGAGTTAACGTTAAAGTGAGTAAAGTACCGCGTTCCTTGAGTACATTAGTTCGTTAGTCGTTCAATTTACCAAAATGATTGCAATGCGAGAAAGTTATTTTGGCTGTTGGGAAGCAATGGATGTCGCAATTTTGTGGCTGCTGGCTTTGTAGAGAGATGTAAAGAGGTGACAGTTGAGTGATAGAGAGATTAATAGGGAATGTCCACAGGGACAATAAACAGTGGCCGTTGTTCCGAGATGGGTGTTATTAAAGGTTCCACTGTGAATTGGAATTACAGTATTAGTCTGTCCTAGGCTCTCAGATAGCGGAGACGTCGCGAAAACGATTTCAAGAGAACTATAGGGTCCACGTGTTCTAAGTAAGGGGTTGGCTTCTGTACCGTTGTAGTTATGTCCTATCTTGTGAACATGTCCTCTGACGTAATGTGATATGCAAGCCAATCAGGTCATGCGATCTATCGTGGTAGTCGCGGCATAGGACCGGAAAAGAATCTCCGTTACAGTTTGGTCTTCGAGCAAAATTTGCAATTCCAGCGGGTCGGAGACAGTAGTAAACTGTTTGTCAGGTTTAGTAAACATGGCGGCCGAAAGGCTGCGAAGGAGCGTATATTTTATGCTTTTTTGGCATTGTACAATAAGAACTTCGAAAAAACAAGACCGGCTGTGCGTCGTTAATGTTAAATTTAATGTTTTTACATGTTATAAAAATATGAAGAACGCATTGAGCAGTTTTTCTCCGGCTCTCATTTACGTATCGATCAGCTTAATTTTAGCTCATATTCAGTTAAGATAGCGAAAACTTGTCGGAGAAGACAAGGCAAATCGCTTTGTTTAAACTCTCTTCGCTATCTACGTCTCTATATAGATCATAATCAACTCTGCATCCTGTGAATATTGTGAACTCGAATAAAACGCAAACGCTTACGAAAATATGTCTATGACTGATCGTTGCCGTTTATTATGGAAATCTAGCGTTCATAGACCGATCTTTTAAGCATAAAAACGCGTGAGTTCGCTGTTTGTGTTGTATTCTTGATTAGCACAGGAAAAAGTTGGTGTTTTTTTTAATATGACCGATGACGGCTGACTGTGAAACGGTTGTAGCTGGTTGTTGAATAACTAGTTTTTCTGTGACTTTCGGTGATTGCTTGGTAGGACACAGGTTGAGTTATCGCAAAATGTGACTCCTTTCTTAAAGTCCACAGTTTACGATAACTCAAATCCTGGCCTGAAGAGCGAAGCCTGTATAAAGAAACCACATTTCGCGCTGTCACAAAATACGGAATTTATTCAGGGACACCCAACGAGCGTTTTCTGTAAAATATCTGTTCGGAGAAGCATTGCCTAGAACTTTATACCACTTGAGGACGGCTAAAAATTTCTAGATGATCGTTCCATTCATGTAAAATTCTCGACGCTTGTCTAACAAATTCCCTACCGGATTTTCTCACGTTTAATTTTTCCCATTTTACTGCCAAGGTTAAGCTAAAAGCAAGGAAACCGAAAGTTTTCGGATTCGAAAATGTGATGTAGAGAGGAATCAGCAAAATTCTCACCTTCGTAATACGTTAAACTACATCTAAAATTTTCGAGAAAATAATACTGAAGCCTTTGTAGATCTAAAAGTTTTCTGCGTAGCCTAAAAGGTGTTTTCAATGAGGACACAGTCGTTGAGTGCCTCTTGT